AACTGTAATGGTTGATCCATCATGACTTCCGGAATTAATTCACAAGCTTCAGACCACATTGCCACTGCTTTTTTGAGCAAGTGAAATGGTGAATGTGACACTGGCTTTTGTAAATGGTAGAATGACAGGCAAAATCACAATGGTTTAATAAGAGGTCTATCACCTGACCCCAAACATAGTCTTGCCTGTAAGAGTGGCCTGTTCTGGGACTTATCTGGTTCCAGACACTTAATCTGGTGTTTTCACTCCCTCAGGCCTGGCTTCTAGGACCCAAGACAGAGGCCAGTAACAGAGAGGCAGAGCTTGGTCTTCTGTTTTGCTTCTGAGAGGTTGACAAGGTCTCTTCCTTGTCTGTGCCAATGCACAAAGGGAAACCACTGTCCATTCCTGCCAATCCTGTAAAGTTCAAAAAATTGGTCATCAGGTTGAAAAAAGTAGCAGAGCTTTGCAAGTCTTTGGAACTCATTTTATCTGTACAGGTGAAGAAACTGAGGCCAAGAGAGGAGAAGGGAACTGTTCAAAGTCACAAAGTAAGGTGTGGCCAGGGCTAGAACCCAGGCCTCTGGACCCTTAGCTCCCTGCCCTTTCACTGGGCACTGCCTTCCACTCAATGCTCTCCCTACTGGGAGCCTTGTGTCCTTAAATGGAAGGTGCTGGAGGCCCAGTGCTTATGACACTAGCAGAAGCAGTGCTCTTGTCCAGAGCCAGAGCTAGTGTTAAAGGTGTACACACACACACACACACACACACACACACACACTCACTCACTGCCACATACACATATCTCGCTTAATATTCATAACCCTATGAAGTGGAAACTCTTATTTTTTTTTTAAATATTTTATTTGTTTATTTGACAGAGAGAGAGAGAGAGCGAGCACAAGCAGGGGGAGCGGCAGGCAGAGAGCAAGGGAGAAGCAGTTCCCCCACGGAACAGGGAGCCAGATACAGGACTTGATCCCAGGACCCCAGGATCATGACCTGAGCCGAAGGCAGACGCCTAACTGACTGAGCCACCCAGGCGCCCAGGAAAACTATTATTTTTCATCCCATTTTACAGATGGTGCTACCAGGAGGCAAAGGAGTCAAGTAACACTCCTGCAACATGAAGTGAGGTCACCTTCTGACCCCAAAACTCAGGATCCTCCTATCATGCTCTGCAGCTTTTCTTCTGGAGCCCAGGACATTGCTGGATGCCAGCCGTTGTGCAGAGCACAAAGCAAATCGCTTCCCAGGACTGGGATGAAGTTTTGTGCCTATATACCCTGTGTTAACCAGCACAGTGTAGGGCACAGAGTAGGTGCTGAGTGATCATCCTGTATTTTTTTTTAATTGAGGTATAATTGACATATATGTCATTATGTATACATTATATATTGCATACATTTCATGTACAACAAAATGATTTGAGTTTGCATATATTATGAAATGATCATCACAGTAAGTCTATTTAACAAATGTCCCCTTATATAGTCATAAAATATTTTTTCTTGTGATGAGAACTGTTAAGATCTACTCTTTTTAGCAACTTTCAGATATGCAATACAATATTATTAGCTATAGTCACCATCATTTATGTTACGACTGGAAGTTTGTACCTTTCGACTTCCTTCACCCATTTCACCCCCTCCCTCCCACACACTTCTGGCAACCACCAATTTGTTCTCTTTATCTATTAGCTTGGTTTTTGTTTTTGCTTGTTTAGATTCTACATATAAGTGAGGTCATATGGTATTTGTCTTTCTCTGACTTATTGCACTTAGCATAATGCCTTCAAGGTCTATTCATGCTTTTGCAAATGGCAAACTTTTATTCTTTTTTTAAATGGCTGACTAATATTCCACATATCCTTTATTCATCCATTGATGGACATTTAGGATGTTTCCATATCTTGGCTATTGTAAATAATACTGCAAAGAACATGGTGGGAATGGTGATGATGGTGCATATACCTTTTCAAGTTAGTGTTTTCACTTTATTTGGTGAAATATCCATAAGTGGAAATTGCTGGATGGGAGGTTAGTTCTATTTTTAATTTTTCGAGGATGCTCCATACTCTTTTTCATAGTGGCTACATCAATTTACTTTCCTACCCACAGTGCACAAGGGTTCACTTTTCTCTATATCCTCAACAAGAAGTCGTTTCTTGTGTTTTCAATAAGAGCTAGTCTAACAGGTGTCAGGTGATAGCTCATGGTGGTTTTGATTTGCATTTGAAAGTGCCACAGGTTTCCCACAGATTTGACCAAGCTCTATACCCTATATACCCTCTATACCTTCCGTCCATGTCCCCAGTCTCATTTGGTTCTATTCTGGCTCTTTACACATCCTCAAAGTCTCCTGAATATTCCTTTTATCTCTAGCTCTCCGGAACTTTAACTGACCCCAATTCATTCAGAATCGCAGTTGGGAGTCGGGGAGGAAGTGTTGAACATCCCCCCACCTCCGCCCCCTCACCCATCGCACACGTTGGCTAAAAGCTAAAGAATCTCGGGCTTTAGTTTTCCCATACCTACAACGGGGTGGAGAGCAAGGGGCTGACTTTACGCGTTGACCGAAAGCAGCTGAGATGGGCACACCTTGCAAAATTACCGAGTCCCATCACGTCGGTTCTTACAGCGCCTGCGCAGAAGCCGCCGGCCGCCTTGCGCTGTTGGCACCCACCTCAGCCCCTAAGCTCCCTCGGAGATTCGGCGCTCGACAGGCATCTGTCCGCCTGTCTTCCGGTTTCGGTGCCGCGCAGGCGCGCCTGCCGAGCGTCGAGCTGTAGATGGAGATGGCGGACGGTGCTGAGTGAGGGACCGCAAAGGCCCAGAGCCTGGGCCGGAGGACCCGAGAGGCCTACGTGCCAGTGGGAGCGCGGCCGGGTACTGAGGGCCGGGCAGGGCCTGAGGGTCGAGAGCGCGGCTCCCCTGAGGAACAGAGACGGGCGGGCCGTGCGGGTGTGGGATGTGTGTGGTTGTGGTGGGTGTGACGTGCGTGGTGGGAGATGTGGCTTTTGGGCCGCGAGTTTCGCCTTTTTGTGCCTGCGACGATTGGGCTCTTGTTTGGTTGTGTGGTTAGGCGGAGCGTGCATAGTTGTGTTTGGTTCTGCGGCTGAGGGTGGGTGGGCGGTTTGTCTCCCTAGTGTTTGTGTTTGGTTCCCTGGTTGTGTGAGGTTGAGACGTTCGGGTCCCAGTTTGTGTGGAGTCTTTTGTAGCGTTTGGTGTGGCGTCTGTGCGATGTGTGAAGTTGTCATGCCTGCTCTGTGGGGTCGAGTCTTTTATGTTGTGTGTGGTTATGCGACGTGTGCATAATGGTATTGAACTATGTAGCGGGTGTTGTGTGCGGTCGAGTCGGTCAGGAGTGAGATTGTGGGCTGTGTAGTGTATGCGGCATGAAGCCGGGTAGCATTCATGCTGGGTGTATAATTTCAGGATATGTAGATTTTATGTTTAATTTCTACGTGTTGTAAGAAATGAGGGGCTTGCGTACGTTATGGTTGTAGGGTCTGGCCCGGTGGTTTGTAGTACATTTCTTTGGTTTGTGTTGTGTTTGGTTATGTGATTTTAGAGTTCGGTGACGCATTCATTCATTCTTGAGGCTTTATTGCCTTTCTTCGTGGTAGGTGCCAGGGACTGTGCTAGACCCTGGGGATAAGGTAGTGGGGAAAATACACATAGTCTCTTCCCCTACAGAGCTTGGAGTCTTATATACTTAGTTATTTTATGTATTTGTGGTTATAAATTGATGTAAGTGCCCTGAAGGAAGTGCAGGAGCTGTCCCAAGGTAGAATGCTTCAAGTAAGAGGCATTTCCTTGAGGAAGTAAGGTTGGGTTGAGATGTGAAGGGTGTGTGTGTGTGTGTGTGTGTTTGATCTGTGGTTGTTACGGTGAATGCATGGGAAGGAAGGGGGCTTTCAGAGTCAGGGCATCTGAGGAACCACTGGCTGGGGTGGGAACTGAAGCCACTATTTCCGTGACTGGAAAAGGGACCGAGATCTGTGTGTATGTAGTTTCTTAGAGGGAAAAAAAACCAAACAGAGTCTTGGTATTTCATTTGTTTATTTTCTGGGTCACAGCTGCCCTTCAGCTTTGAGGACCAGGCAGTCCCTCTTCACAGGCCTCTAATCAGCTCCATCCAAAGCTGAGGGTCATTTATTTCCTCTTACTCTCTCCTGTGGTTTGTGACCTTAGGATCTTGGGGAGAAATTTCTCTGCTTTTGTGGAATGGTTTTGTCTGAATTCTCCCTATGACTGGGAGTTTTTCTGTGGTGACATTGGAAGTGACTTTGCCATGGCCCAGTAAAAGTAAAAATGTAACTTATTAAGCCCTGAATTGTTTATGCACCAAATCCTTTTGTTTTTGAAGCAGTGGAAACATTAGGCTTGTTGTCCAACTGTCATTTATTGGCTTATAAAATCCAGTTAATCTATTATAGAGAAAGCACTCTACAAATATAAAACACAAAGTAGATTTTTCTTTTTACCACTGGGTTTCTAATGCTCCTCTTTAGACTAAGGTTGGGATTTTTGTTTGGTTTGGTTTTGGTTTTACTTTTGTTTTTTAAGGCGGACACTGTTTCTTTTTCTATTTGCATTTTTGATATAGGTGTAAGAGCTCAGTATATATGTGGTTGAATAGATGACCAAGGTGAAGAGTGAAAAATTTCTGTGTATTTGTAAGTACTTCACACATTTCCCTAGTGGCTAAAATGGCATACAAATTATGAAGTTGGACCAGTTGGAGTGAATGTTAGAGAATTGCCTTGGTACTGTTTGCTTTTGAAGCTCAATTTTCTTATCTTCAGAAATCTGTGCTCTGTACTTCATTGAGTTGCCATTGTCCAGTGATGTTCTCAGATATTTAAAGGTTTTGTGTTTTGGTGTAAGGATTTGAGAAAGCAGTTTTGTGTTTTCAAACTTGTAGTGAACAAACATTAAGTAATCTTGTTGAACTGTGAAAAGAACAAAGAAAATTCTCAATTGCTGCTAATTTGCTTGAATTGGCTTTTTTTTTTTTTTTTTTTTCTTCTCCCCTTCTTCTTTCCTATTCCAGAGCTTCTCCTACTCCACAGAGGAAATCTCATCCAGGGCCATGATACGACTTCCCCATCATCTGTGTGCTGCTTGGTTAAGCTAATGCTGTGAGAGCCCTGGTCCCTTGGGGAGGAATCAAGCTGACTCCTGGCATGAGGCCCCTGCCTTGCAGGGGTTGAAAGGGACACTGCTATGACTTCTCTGGATGACCCTGGGGAAGTGAGGGAGGGCTTCCTTTGCCCTTTGTGCCTGAAGAACCTGCAGTCTTTCTATCAGCTTCAGTCACATTATGAGGAAGAGCACTCTGGGGAAGACCGTGATGTCAAAGGGCAAATTAAAAGTAAGAGGCAAGAACTTTTTGCTTATCCTATTCTGTTACTGGGAGAGTTAACTCATGGGATGGTTTCATTAACTTCCATGATGCCACCAGAATATAATAAACAATAGAATTGATAATAATAACAGTGAACATATATGAACATGTATCTTATGTTTACCATGTGCCAGGCATTGTTCAAAGCCTTCCTATGAATAAACTTCATTTAATTCTCGCAATAACTGTTGGACTGTGAGACATATTTTACTCATGAGGGTACTAGTCACAGAGAAATTAGATAAGTTGCCTGAAGTCACACAGTGAGGCAGGGTCTAACTTTGAACCTAGTAAATGTAATTCTTATGCTTTGCTGTCTCTTGCTACACTGAATTATCTAATTGCCAGCCTCTAAGAATTTGAAGAATTTGAAGAATCCTTTCCTTTGCTCTGAAAGTGGAGGCACATTGTACACCCATTTCCCTGTCAAAAATTCAAGCCTTCTGCCATTCTTCCTCCTTCACTGTACGTTGTCCTCTGCAGCCCAGAAAAAGGAAGGTCATAGTTGAAAAGCAAGGAGAAATAATCCAAAAAGTTAAACTTGGTTTTTGAGCTTCCCAGGCCTCAGGTCATAGAGAGAATCAGAATGATTTTTTTCAAAGCAATTTTAACATACATAGTGGTCATTTCTGAAACTTCAGATTCTAACTCTTAAATATGATGCCACTTCTCTAGAACTTACTTTCACCTGCTTCTCCCAGCTGGCAGCATTTCTGAAGGCAATGAGATTAAAAAGGTCTGGAAGTGTATTCACAATTCTGTGTTGGGTGAGAGAGGAAGGGAGGATCATGTATTTCTAAGTGGAATTTGGCCTCCACACATGTGGGTCACATGCCCCCTGTAATCAAATAGTCCCACTCCATGCCTCACTTTTCAGTTCAGAAAAAATTGTTGAAACCATTAATATTTATGACCTCTGTCCAGAAACATGATAAAGTCAAATATTTTCAAAATCCTGAGGGCTGTGGTAAATGAGGTGGCTTCTGTCTGTAGAGGCTGGAGGAGAGAGCCCAAACTATTAGAAGGCCCCCCTCCCAAAATGTTTTGCATTTTCTGGTTTTCAGAGTTCTTTCATAAATATTATTTCTTCTGATTCTTAGAGAAACTCTGCAAGAAGGTGGTTGGTTTCATTCTGCAGAGAAAAAGTGAAGCTCAGAAATGTTGAGTGACTTATCCAAGGTCACATAGGAATTGGCAGAGCTAGGCCTTGACCCCAGGTCTTCTGTCACCTCTGAGTCTAGTGCTGCTCTTTCCACTTGGCATCACTGATGATACCAGACCCTGTGTTCCAATCACAGTTTGTTCTACAGCTAGAATGCGAACAAACTGATGATCTAGGTTTCCTTGGACAGCTGAAGGACCTCTGTGATTTTTAGTGCTCGTCCAGCCTGAGTGTGAGCTGAACTGAGTCATATACTGTGATGTCACTAAGACTTTGATGCTAGTGGGTACACAGGTTAGACAATGTCTTCAACTTCCTGTGGTTCCCTGTTTATTAGAGGAAAAATGTTTAAGGTAACTTAGGGAATAATAGCTGTGGGAATCCACTTAAAGAATAATAGAGTATAAATTTTATGAGTTGTGAAGAAAACTTGAAAGGATTTTCTTGTGTTTTTCCCTCTGTTTTTCCCCCACTCTGCCTCAGAAGAACTAAGAAATTGAGTTAAGCATTCCTTTAGTCTAATGATCATTTGTCTAGTCAGGAAGGAAGTCTTGCTTGTGTGGGAGTTTTCTTTGGTTTCAGAATCAGGAAAGTTTTAAAGATTGACATCAAAGATTTTTGAAAAGTCCTTTAAAAAGCAGGTCATGTCTTCATTTGTCTTTTGGTTTTTAGAAATTTTATGACATTGCTGATTTTGTCAAGTGAAATGTTGAAGCCAAAAGTGCAAACCTTGGTATCAGGTTTTGGAGGCAGTTTAAGAACGAAAGTGTAGGGGCGCCTGGGTGGCTCGGTGGGTTGGGCCGCTGCCTTCGGCTCAGGTCATGATCTCGGAGTCCTGGGATCGAGCCCCGCATCGGGCTCTCTGCTCTCTAGGGGAGCCTGCTTCCTCCTCTCTCTCTGCCTGCTTGTGATCTCTCTGTCAAATAAATAAATAAAATCTTTAAAAAAAAAAAAAAAAAAAGAACGAAAGTATAGATTTGTCATTAGTAGAAGGTGGTCAGTGAGTTTGGGCTGCAGCCCTGGTTTGGCTTCAGTTTAGCACTTGCACAGTAAGTCTAAGAAAGTGTGGTTGAAAATTGGCTTTTGCTTTGTGTTTTTTTGTTGTTGTTATTTATTTTTTTCTGCTTTGTGATTTTAAAAACATATGGGATTGTTCTTAATTGGCCCCTCTTGAAGTGCTACTCCTGGGAAGGTTGCCAGAGTGTTCTTCTGTCCTCATAAAGTGGTTAAATGGCATGGACTGCCTGTTTAACCCGACACAGTTTAGTCTTGTTTGCAAAAATGAATTAGTGAATGCCAACTCCAGTTTCTTGTTTGCTAACCCTTTGTTTACATCAGGCAGTTTTCTCTCCCATGTTGTTAAGAGAGTTACTTGAATGCATTTTAGATGGTGTCCTTTAGTTCTGGTGGATGTTATTTTTTCCAGTGGGAGGAAGGCATCTCAGAGTAGCCGTTAGCAGTTTCCCCCTCTGCCTGCCAGCCCCTCCATATCTGCATTCCCCAGGTTTTTGAAAAGCTATGGTAGTGTTTTTAATGTTATTCAGGTGACAGAGCACTTCAAAATTGTGGGAACTCCATGAAGTATTGATCTATTAAATCTAAAAGAATTGTATTTTGTATTAAATCTGATATTTTCGGGGCACCTGGGTGGCTTAGATGGTTTAGTGTCTTTCTGTGGGTCGGATCATGATCCCAGGGTCCAGGGATTGAGCCCCGCATCGGGCTCTCTGCTCAGCGAGGAACCTGCTTCTCCCTCTCCCTCTGCTCCTCCCCCTCCTTGTGCTCTCTCTGTCAAATAAATAAATAAAATCCTTAAAAAAATAAGTAAAATAAATCTGATATTTTCTCCTAGATTCTAGGTAGAGAAAGGGATAATTACCCAAGATTTAAGAACCTTAATGAGAGCAACATAGAATCAAGAATTTTTTTTCCCACAAGTTGACTGCTGTTCCTTTTTAACAAATAGCAGGTCCTTTCACCTCAGCACAGGTGGCAAAAGCCCTGTTCTGCAGAGGCATAGTTTTGAATTACGCTGGCTGGGAAGAGCTGGGGTTCTCATTTTAAACAGGTGAGGTTTCCACTTGTAGCCCTGTTGCCTTATAAGCTCTGTGATCTGGGGTGCAGCAAGTTTCCCCCCTCTTTACGTCATGTCCTCATTTATAAGTAGGGATACCACTTGCCTCCGAGTGTGAGCACACATTTGCCAGAGTTTTTGAAAGCACTTTGTTTTGTGCCCAGCACATGCAAAGAATCAATTCAGGAAGCATTCATTTTCTCTTCTTATCAAGTCTGGTTCCCTTTGTGTTATGTTGAAGGTGTTATAACTGTTTCTTGAAACTTTTTGTCAGTGTCCTCACATATGCATTCAATAAAGAGGAGGGGAAGAAGAACTCTGTGTACAGCTAAGCATTATGGGGAACACTAGCCCAGGGATGTTGGTTTGGTTGAATCCCATCCTGGAAGTAAACAAAAAGTGTTTACTCGTGAGTCCATAGGGTAAATAAATTAATACTGTAGAATTTAATTTTTTTTTTTTTAAGATTTTATTTATTTATTTGACAGACAGAGATCACAAGTAGGCAGAGAGGCAGGCAGAGAGAGGAAGGGAAGCAGGCTCCCTGCTGAGCAGAGATCCCGACGCGGGACTCGATCCCAGGACCCTGAGATCATGACCCGAGCCGAAGGCAGCGGCCCAACCCACTGAGCCACCCAGGCGCCCCTAGAATTTAATTTTTAAAAAACTTTAAGTAAGATATAGTTTACACATAAGTTTTTATGTGTACAATTCAGTGAGTTTTGAAAAATATATATACCCATGTAACCACCCCCACAGTTAAGATCTAGGAAAAAAAACATTTCCATTGCCTTGGTTCCCCTCATTGAATTTGATTTTATGCTTTAATTGGGCTCTTAAATTTGGCAATGAATAATAATTTAGCTGTATATTGGCTACATAAACCAACTTACTGCTAATACTGACTTGTAAAGAATGCTCTGTGGTATTTGTAGTACTGTGGCCTCATTATTGCAATTTATTTGGGATCCAGAATTTTTAAATAAAGTATAGTCATTTCATCAGCTCTTGTATTTTGAGATTTCCTCTGACTTTTTACTAGGTGTTTATGGATTCATTTATGGTGTTTGTTTCATTTTTCAAGGTCTTGTCCAGAAGGCTAAGAAAGCCAAGAACAGGCTGTTGAAACGAGAAGGAGATGACCGAGCAGAATCAGGGACGCAAGGATATGAGTCTTTCAGTTATGGAGGGGTTGACCCTTACATGTGGGAACCCCAGGAATTAGGTAAGAAGTTCTGTGCATTCATTCAGCAAATGTTTGCACATCTATATGTTCTCAGTGATATATTTTTTTAAAGATTTATTTGTCAGAGAGAGAGAGAGCATGAGAAGAGGGAGTGGTAAGCAGAGGGAGAGTAGACTCCCTGCAGAGCAGGAGCCTGATGGGGGACTTGGTCATGACCTGAGCTGAAGGCAGATGCTTAACCGACTGAGCCACCCAGGTGTCCTAGTTCTTGGTGATGTTTTAAGAGTTAGCTGAGAAAAAAAAAGTGGGGTTGGGGTACCTGGATGGCTTAGTCAGTTAAGTGTCCGACTCTTGGTTTCAGCTCAGGTCATGGTCTCACACAGGTCATGCGATTGAGCCCTGTGTCCAGGCTCTGCACTAAGTGGGAGTTTGCTTGAAGATCCTCTCCCTCTGCCCCTCCCCCCAATCACATGCTCACTCTGTCGCTCTAAAATAAATAAATCTTTAAAAAAAAGTTAGCTTAGGCATCAGTAACCAGAATGGTCTAAGTTTCTCATGGACCTTATGTCCCAGAAGGTGGCAAAAATGGATCAGAATGAGCTAAGCATCTGCTTTGTGTTAGGCAGTGCATTAACTGTTTTACATGCATACTCATTTAATCCTCATGGCACTGGATGGGGACCTGCCCTGAGTCAAACCGCTAAGAAACTACAGAACTGAGCTGGGAGTCTAGGTGTTTGACATCAGTCCAGGCAGAGACTCCATTGACTAGGCTGTCTCTTCTCACATGGGATATTATCTGCCTAACAGGAGGCACTCACTGATTTATTTATGCAACAGAATTTTCTGAAACACATTATTATGATACCATCACTGACTTTTAAAATAATCATCATGGGGCGTCTGGATGGCTCAGTCAGTTAAGCATCTGCCTTCGGCTCGGGTCATGATTTCAGGGTCCTGGGATCGAGTCCCGCATTGGGCTCCCTGCTCAGCAGGGAGTCTGCTTCTCCCTCTCACTTTCCCTCTGTGCTTTCCCTTTCTCTTTCTCTCAAATAAATAAATAAAATCTTTTTTTATTTTTTAATCATCTTTGTGGGGTAATGAAAATGTTCTAAGATTTACTTTTGATGATGGTTATACAACTCTGAATATGCTAAAAACCATGAAATTTGTAAGCTTTAAGTTGTGGATTGTATGTTTGTGAATAATATCTCAATAGAGGTATTACCAAAAATGCCACATGAATTTGAGCTAGCTAATTTTACATGTCCTTTAACTGTTGTATGATAACAAAACTTAATTTTCTTTTCTGTCCATGCAATGGATAAATGTTTTCCTCCTAAGGCTTTATTATACTTTCATATTCATTATCTTTTGCATCTTTCACAAAAGCTTCATGAGGTGGAATGGGTCATGATGCTCGTTCCCATTTACAGATGAGGAAACAGGCTCTAAGGAGAATTGATATTTACGCAGAGTCAGTTACCATATTCTTCTTATAGGGCCACAATTGATATGTCTTTTTGGATGAGAACAATCTTAGAACTGCACTATCTGATAAGATAGGCACCAACTTGGGCACCTGGGTGGCTCAGTGGGTTAAGCCTCTGCTTTCGGGTCAGGTTATGATCCCAGGGTCCTGGGATTGAGCCCCGCACTGGGCTCTCTGCTCATCAGGGAGCCTGCTCCCTGCCCCTTCTGCCTACTTGTGATCTCTGTCTATCAAATAAATAAATAAAATCTTAAAAAATAAAAAAGATAGGCACTAACTATATGTGGCTATTTAAATTTAAGTAAATTAAAATTAAACAAAAATTAAAAGTAATTTCCTCAATCATACACTAGCCATATTTCAAGTGCTCAATCTATACCTGTGGCTAGTGCCTACCATATTGGAGAGTGGAAACATTTTCATCATAACAGGAGAAAATGGCTTTAAAAATAACACTATAGGGGGTCACCTGGGTGGCTCAGTGGGTTAAGCCTCTGCCTTCGGCTTAGGGCATGATCTCAGGGTCCTGGAATCGAGACCCACATCAGGTTCTCCACTCAGCAGTGAGCCTGCTTCCCTCTCTCTATCTGCCTGCCTCTCTGCCTACTTATGATCTCTCTCTCTCTGTCAAATAAATAAATAAAATCTTAAAAAAAATAAAAATAACATTATAGGGATGCCTGGGTGGCTCAGTTGGTAAGTGTCTGCCTTCAGCTCTTGTCATGATGCCAGGGTCCTGGGATTGAGCCCCTCATTGAGTCCCCTCTCTGACAAATAAATAAAATCTTTAAAAACAAAAACAAAAACAAACCACTGTATATGGGGTGCTGGGTGGCTTCATTGGTTAAGCATCTGCCTTTGATTCAGGTCATGATTGGCTCAGGTCATGATCTCAGGGTCCTGGGATCGAGCTCTGCATTGGGCTCTCTGCTCAGCGGGGAGTCTGCTTCTTCCTCCCTTCCCTTCTGTGCTCTCTTTCTCGCAAATAAATAAATAAATCTTTTTTAAAAAGAAAAAATAAAAATAACACAGTATAATGTAACATTGTTAATTACACTTTAGTAAGAAAAATAGTAAAAGTAAATAAAAATTTAAGAAATTTTCAAATCAGGGCTCCTGACTAGTTCAGTCAAATGAGTGTGGGACTTGTGATCTCAGGATTGTGAGTTCAAGCACTTTTTTGGGTGTAGAGTTACTTAAAATTAACAAAAAATTGACAAAAAATTTTCAAATGAGTATGTTGTACACCTGAAATTAATAAAGCATGTGTTAGTATACATATAGTAATGAGTTACATATGAAAGTTGATTTGAAACATGAAGAAGAAATTTCAGGCGTGTGAATTCTTATTAGCTTTTTGAGAGCCTGCTTCTTGATTGCCAGTGTTAAATTATCAGGGCAATTTTCTGATTAACTCACCAGTTTCAGTAACTGGAGGAAGTTACAATTGTGGAAGGTCAAGTGAATGGCAAATTTTAAAAGTTAAGATCTGTGGTCATGCTGGAGCACCTGGGTGGCTCAATCGGTTAAGCACCTGCTTTTGGTATTAATCCTGGCATCCTGGGATTGAGCCCCATGTTGGGCTCTCTGCTCAGGGGGAGTCTGCTTCTCTCTATGCCTGCCCCTCTGCCTGTTTGTGTACTCGAGCTCCATCTCTCTCTGTCAAATAAAGTCTTAAAAAAAAAAATCTATGGTCACACATAAGAATTTGAAACTAAAATTTAGGTGTTAGAGAGTATGGTTAGGGGAGAAAAGAGCAAGGATAGTGCAGAGTGTAATATGTGAGAAGCTCCAGGGGGCGCACAACTTAGAGGGGAACAGGCCATGCTTGGGAAGAGAAAGTGGACTGGGTGCTGGGGTGGGGGCAGCTGGGGTGGGTTGGTGTTTTGGAAGAAGGAATATTTCAGTGATGCTGAAACAAGAAGCTTTTTGGTTCCATTTGTGTAAGAAGTTTTGTCCTGGATCTTTGCTGCTGAGCTGATCAAGGTATCAGTTTAACCAGCTCTTCCAGTGACATCTGTTAGCATTTACCTTTTGGGGGCTATTTTGAGAAGGACTGTTTTTATTCTGATGCAAAACCATAACATACCAACTTTGGAAAGCACAGAAAAGTATGAGAGATTTTTAAAAATTGCCCATAATGTTACTGTCCTTTTTACCAAAAATTCATGTGCCAGTATTCTAAGGACTTCATAAATTTTAACTTTTTAATCCTCGTAACAACCTTGTGGAGTAGGTACTACTGTTATCCCCATTTTGTAGATGAGTACTCCCAAATTACACAAACATTAAAGAACTTGTTCAAGGTCACACAGTATATGGCAAAATTGAAATCTGAGCACAGGCAGGCTCCAGTCCAGGCTTTCCTCCCCCATTCTCTGAGGTCTCTGGTATTGAGCTTTGTGGCCTCCAAAGTAACCATGGTTAACATTTTAGCAAATTTGTTTCCATTTGCTTGTCTTTGAATTTTTAGTAAGACTCTATAAACTCCTTGAATTTCTACTTGGGTTTAAAATTCATTGAAGAGGCGCCTGGGTGGCTCAGTTGGTTGGGCATCTGCCTTCAGCTCAGGTCATGATCTCAGGGTCCTGGGATTGAGCTCCAGGTTGGGCTCCCTGCTTGGTGGGGAGCCTGCTTTTCCCTCTACTCCCTGCTTGTGCTCTCTCTCGCTATCTCTGTCTCTCTGTCTATCTCTCAAATAAATAAAACCTTAAAATAAATAAATAAACAGACAAATAAATAAATAAATAAATAAATAAAATTCATTGAGTATAGGAGCACCTGGGTGGCTCAGTTGTTTAAGTGTCCAACTCTTGTTTTCGGCTCAGATCATGATCTCAGGGTCCTGGGATTGAGCCCCATGTTGGGCTCTGTGCTCAGTGCAGAGTCTGCTTGGGATTCTGTCTCCCTCTCCCTCTGCTCCTCCCCAGCTCTTGCACTCTCTGTCTCTTTCTTAAATGAATAAATGAATAAATACAATCTTAAAACTATACAAAGTCATCTTTAAAAAATAAAATAAAGGGGCGCCTGGGTGGCTCAGTGGGTTAAAGCCTCTGCCTTCAGCTCGGGTGATGGTCCCAGGGTCCTGCTTCCTCCTCTCTTTCTGCCTGTCTCTCTGTCTACTTGTGATCTCTGTCTGTCAAATAAATAAATAAAATCTTAAAATAAAATAAAGTTCATCGAAGATAAGCATCAAGGGAGAGGGGCTTTCTCAGAGAAATGACATGTTGTTTATCTCCCCATTTTCTGTCCTTCTAGGTGCTGTGAGAAGCCATCTTTCTGACTTCAAAAAACACCGAGCTGCCAGAATTGACCACTATGTTGTTGAAGTCAATAAATTAATAATCAGGTTAGAGAAGGTAAATTTTGTTGTTTTAAAACTTTTTTTTTCTGCAAGTATAAATTGTCTGGGAGAAAAAAAAGTTGTATTTCTGCCGTTGTATCATGTGTGTTGTATGTATTTGATGCTGGTAGAGAAATGCCCCACCTTGAGCCTACCTAGAGAGGCGTAGACAGTGGTAGACATGGTAGACAGTTGTAGCCTGGGCTGGTTTTACTGTAGGAGATGGCCCAGGTTGACAGACTTACCACACATCCAGCTTTCCTTTTCCTTCCTCTGAAGCCCACTTGGCTGCTTGGAAAACCTTTCTACCTTCAAATTATTTCCTCTCTTGGGTGTCCAGAGTATAGTCATGCAGTGGGGCCTGTGTTTACTCAATAACAAACAGAAGCTGGTGACAGGGTCTTTGAGGAGTACTCATCCACAGTCAGCATTCAGTGTGGGAACATCTGGATTGGGCCTTGTTGTCTGTGGTACCAGAGTGTGTCTTCAACACCCACAATCACTCCGTTCTACTTTGACCCTAGAAATGCTTGTTGTGTATAACCTGGATTGTATGGTGGGCATGGTAGCAACTGCGGGTACAGTTCTTGATGCATACTTTGTAGGGCAGAAATAAATTGCCAGTTTCATGGTCCGGGAGGACCATGGAGAATCAGGAGTTCCCCATTGCTTTCAGTTGCCACACCTACCACATCCTTGCTACCCCTGGTTCTTGCCTAAATGGAGAACCGACAATAAAGAGTGGGAACCAGGTCATGGGGAAGGGAGCTGCCTTCTAGATGCAAAGCTAATACTCTGTCCAATGTGAAGTTGCTTTCGTGACTTGGTGGGGTTGGGGATGACAGATGAGACTTACAAAATGAAGACGTGTGAATTCCTGCTTGATGCTTCTTGCCTGTGAAAAGTTTGACATCACCTGTTTAATTCCATTTGGCACTGTTTTCTCCTTGTCAGCTCACTGCCTTTGATAGAACGAATACTGAGTCCGCTAAGATACGAGGTAACTCTAGAGTTTTGCTCACATTCATTCTATTTATCTTTCTCCCTGACCAAACCTCTTTTTCAAATGGCTAGCTTTTCTGTTGGATTTTTGTTTTGTTCTTCCCAAAGCAATAGAAAAGTCCGTGGTGCCTTGGGTCAACGACCAGGATGTCCCTTTCTGTCCAGACTGTGGGAATAAGTTCAGCATCCGTAACCGCCGCCACCACTGCCGCCTCTGTGGGTCTATTATGTGCAAGAAGTGTATGGAGCTCATCAGCCTCCCTTTTGCAAGTAGGTAACATGGATGCAGGGCCCTGGACCCTGATATTGTGACTAGTTTGTTTGCTGATCACTAATGGGTGATTTTTTGAATGTTTTTGTTTAAGTGAATGTCCCAAGGGATCTTCATCCATTCATTTATTGATTCCATGAAGCCTGCTATAGGTAGTGGTGGGTAACAAGGGCTGGCAAACTTTTTCTGTAAAAGATCAGATAGTAAATATTTTAAGCTTTATGGGCTACAGATGGTTTCTGTGACATTTCTTCTTCTTTTTTTAAACAACCTTTTAAAATAACCTTTGAAAAAGGTTTTAAACAACCTTTTAAAAACCATATTTAGCTCTAGGGCCATACAAGAGCAGGCTGGAGTTGGTTTACAAGTCATGTTTGCCCACCTACGGATTATAAGGCATTGTCCATTCCCGTAAAAGGTCTAGCATCTAGCAGAGGATACAGACTTACAAATAATTGCTTTATAAAGAGATAAGTATTGTGAGAGAAGTTGCATCAGACACCCAGGAGAGCTGACCAAATCATTGTCAGCTCTGCTTGGAAGTGGCAGCTGAGGCTTTGAGAGGAGACTATAAGAAAGAGTCTTAGAAAATGAGCAGCAGGCTAATCCTTTCCTTTGAAATAAAAGTCACAGTTTATTGTCATATAGAACAGACTGTAACATCATAATATGAGCGACACTGAGTGCTGAAGGAATCAAGAGTGTGGATGCTCAGGTTTGGGAGGTGATGTTTGAGAAGAGCCTAAAAGACAGCCAGGATTGCAAAGAGGTAGGGCAGGAGAGATCCTGGGTAGAGTGCAGAGTAGGAGTGAAGCCGTGGGAGGGCCCTGGGGGAAGGTTAGTAGATGAGAAGGATAGAATAGTTGGGGGAGTATAGAGGACATGTTTGAGAATTATGCGGATGGTGGCTACAAGGTTAGGTGGAACCAGAGGGTCTAGAACTTTGAGTCTCAGCTGGTTAAAAGTTGCCAAAGGTGATCTCATGGGCTTTAGGCCAATTCTGGGACATTTGGGGTAGTTTCACAACCCTGGGGAGTTCCGCTGACTCTGCTTATGCTGTTAGCTACAATCATCTGGACAACGTGGGATAGAAGGAGATGCTTCCTCTGTCCAGTTCTGACATCCAGCAGGCACACATTACCTTGATACCTTCCCTTTCTCCCTGAGACTGACTTTCTGTCTCACCTGAGACTTCATAAGCAATGCTTTTGAAACACTATTCACTTTCCTTATCTTGCTAATTAACATTTACTGGGCAGCTGCTGTGGGATAGCCCTGTTGGTTATATTGGGGTACAAGTATGAATAAGACAGTTCCTACCCTCCCAGAGTCACAGATTCATAGAGCAGCTCTGGGTGTACAAAGAATTGTTATACAGGGAGAAAAGCAGAAAGTGCTCCAAGAGGGATGACATGGTAGGACCTGATAGGAAGGGCATATTGTTTTTGCCTCAAGGAATAGAGTAGGGCTTCTGGAAGCTGAGCTTTGGAAGGGGCAGGAGTCAGATGTTTGGGAGTGGGGAAGTCTGTCAGGATAGTCTGGGGAGAAAGTGGATTGTGTTGGGTCAGGTTAGGAACGGGCCTCAGAGCCTCAAGGAGAGACCTTCCTTGGCTGTCTGGCTTGTTCCTGGCTGGCAGTGGGAGTCCCTCCCACCAGAGCCTGACCTTGGGAAGGCAAAGGTGTGGTGCTTCTTGCCCATAGACACAGCCTGGATCAGCGCCTGTGGCCGCTCCTCTGTTGTGAGCGGTGGGGTGATTGGAGGCTGCAGGCTCACTGCCAACTGTCTTGTGTTGTGCTTTACAGACAAGCTCACCAGTGCCAGCAAAGATTCCCTGAGCACCCACACCAGCCCCAGCCAGTCACCCAACAGTGTCCATGGCTCCCGCCGGGGCAGTATCAGCAGCGTGAGCAGTGTAAGCTCCGTCCTGGATGAAAAGGATGACGACCGGATCCGCTGCTGTACACACTGCAAGGACACGCTGCTCAAGAGAGAGCAGCAGATTGATGAGAAGGAGCACACCCCCGACATTGTAAAGCTCTATGAGGTGACTCACTGTGCTTGGCCCTGGGTCTGATTCGAGATGCAGATTTGCCTGTTGATTTTGTACACGCCTGCATATTTTGGAGAATGCTTTGGGAAGTCGTTCCTTTGAATCATTTTTAGTTTCTGCTGAAGGGCCTTGGTATGGTTTCCTAGCCAGGGCCATGGGTGATTCACAGAGTCATCCTGGGTATGTTGCAATAACCTTGTTCCGTCACCACTCCTTGCCCACTTGAAAGCAGGAGGTTGGAGACTTTGGTGGCCCAGGGGCAAGAGGAGGAAGGATGGTTGCCATGCTGTGTGGACAGGATTTGTGGATGAGGGGTAGTGGAGTTGGAGCAGGTATGAACAGTGGGCCAGAAGAGTCCTGGGAAACTCACTTGGGAGCTTCAGGCTTTATAGGTTTGAGTGACTGCCCATGGGCAGAGAGCTTCCCTTTTAAGTCCATTCAGATGCCTCTGCTGTCATTACCACCAGCAATCCCAAAACACATTCGGTAGATGCATACTTTGAAAGAGAGGAACATATGCCATGCAAAAACGGGATTCAGAGTCAGGGCATGAGTCTGCCTTAGTCTCCCAGTGGCCAGGGGGACCTGCAGGCTGAGAAGGATTAGCCAGCTGGAGATTTCATAGGCAGGTGTCTGGAGATGGGAAGGGGAGATCAGCTTGGCGGAGGTAGCAGCTCATGTAGAACCCTGAGCAGAAGAACACCCAGGCCTTCTTCCACTTCCATCCGGGCCACATCCTGATAAAGTCATCCCAAATTGAAAACATCGGAAGTCGAAAGTACCTTTAATACACCAAACCCCCCAGTGTGGGAGCCTGGCCTCCACTAACCATGTTGGGAACACTGACATCAGCCTGCGGTTGGGCAGAATCCGCTAACTCAAATCTGTTTGATCATAAAGTGCTGAGTATATCATGTAACTTACTGAATACTGTGCTGAAAGTGAAAAAAAGTTGTAGGAGTACAGGATGGCTGTAAGGGTATTGGTGGCTGACCCTGTGATCCCGTGGCCTGGAGCTGTGGCCGCTGACACTGCCCAGCATCGTGGGAAAGTGTTCTGCATGTCGCCAGCCTGGGTGAAGAGCCATACTCAAAGTTCCAACTACGGTTTCTACATTCGCCCATCGCTTTTGCACCGTTGTGAAGTTGAAAAAACATAAAGTCTAACCATTGTTAAGTCAGGGGCCATCTGTATATTTGTCTGTCGATCACTGAGTGGTCACTCTTAGCAGATCTGTGGGTCATAATGGCTGCATTTCTGGAATCACCACAAAAATACTTAGACTACTAGAAATGGTGTTAATGAAACCCTGCCCTGAGCTACAGATGTAGCCATTATCCATCCTAAGTATGGAGCTCATGACCTGATAACTCATTTTTATAAATAGCCACCCTGTTTTTTCCTTCCTTTACTTTTTAAAAAAGATTTTATTTATTTATTTGACAAAGAGCACAAACGGGGGGAGTGGGAGAGAAAGAAGCAGGCTCTCTGCTGAGTAGGGAGTCCGATCCGGGCCTTGATCCCAGGACCCTGGGATCATGATCTCAGCCAAAGGCAGACGCTTAACCAACTGAGCCACCCAGGCGTACCCTCCTTCCTTCATTTTTGAAGTGAGCCCTGGCAATGCCTTTTGCTAGTATCTTTCATCACCTGGCAGAGAAAGAATGTAGCCACCAATTCCTTTCCTCTGCCTTGGTAAACTCATTGGCTTGTGTCCTGGAAGGCTTTGCTCCCTGCAAAAACATCCTGTCAGAAGTTCTGCCCTCACTTTCCTTCCTTCCTACAAGATTTACTGCATGTAAAGGAGGTCTGTAAATCAGGAAATTGGTAACAACAATAAAAACGAACAAGAAAACACTGCATATTTCCAACTGTACATTTAAACAAAAATTTTTTTAAAGTAGACTCCACTCCCAATGTGGGGCTTGAACTCAGAATTCTGAGACTAATAGTTGTGTGCTCTGAGCCAGCAGGCACCCTGGAAATTGTACATGTTAACTCTCTATTGATGCGGCATAACTTGTTTGTACCTTGAGAGCACCACTCACCTCTTTTGTTTTGTCCTTAGAAATTACGACTTTGCATGGAGAAAGTTGACCAAAAAGCTCCTGAATACATCAGGATGGCAGCATCATTAAAGTAAGCTATTCCTCTGTTTTTCTAACTCAGTGATGACTGTTTGTGGGTACTTTTAGGGTAGTTCCTCAGTAGCTGAAAATTACAATCTTAGTTCTGGCTCTGCTTTCCTTCTGTAACCAACTCTGGGGAATCTTTGTCATGTTTGTATTTCTGTGTGGCACGTGTTACAGTCCTCGGTAGCCATGTTCAAGGGACCCCAGTTGCGATGGAGCAGGCTGAGGAGGGTCCTCAAGACAGTAGGCACTGGAGGTGAGCGGGGACAGTGCGCCTCGTGTGCTGCCCCGGGGAATACTGCTTCAGGCTGGCACCAGGCGTCAGGGCTTAGAGCAGGCATTTCCTTTAGAGCAGCGGTTGACACACTACGGCCCACGGGCCAAATCTAGCCTGCCACCTGTTTCTTTTTTTAACTAAGATCTAATTTACACACCAAAAATTTAATAATAATTTATGCACCCTTTTCATGTGTACAGGTCAGTGGTTCCTCACAGAGTCATAAAACCATCATCACTGTCCAAACCACTTTTATCATCCAGAGAAAGCCCACCCCCGTTAGTAGTCACAGCAAATTTCCCTCTCCCTGGCATCCACTGGTCTGCTTTCTGTCTATGGACTTGCCTCTTTGGGACATTTCGTATAAACACATAATCCTTCTTGTCTGGCTTCTTTCACATAGTGTAGTGTTTTCAAGATTCACCCTTGTGGCCCCACGTGTTAGGGTTCCATTCCACTCACGCAAATGCATTGTATGGATACACCACATTTTGTGTACCTGTTAGTCCGTTGATGAACATTTGGATTTTTCCACTTCAGTGAATATTCCTGTAAAAGTTTTTGTGTGGACATATAATTCTATTTCATTTGGGTTTCTACCTAGGTGTAGAATCGCTGGGTCATATGGCAGTTGTAGGTTTTAAACTTCTTGAGGCCCTGCCAGACTGTTTTCCAAGACAACTGCCACTTTACATTTCTGCCAGCAATGCATGTGCTTTTCAGTTTCTCCATATCCTTGCCAACGCTTGATATTGCCATTTTTTAAAAAAAGATTTATTTATTGGAGAGAATGAGACAGAGATAGTGAGAGAGGACAGGAGCAGGGAGAAGCAGGCTACCCACCCAGCAGGGAGCCTGATGCGCGACTCGATCACAGGACTCTGGGATCATGACCTGAGCCGAAGGCAGTCACCCAACCAACTGAGCCACCCAGGCACCCTTTTTTCTTTTAATGAATAAAATTTTATTGGTGCATAGCCATGCCCATTTGTTTGACTGTAGCTGCAAACTGCAGCTTTGGCGGCAGAGTTGAATAGTTGTGACCGGCACTATCTAGCCTGCAAAGCTAAAAATATATATTATCTGGTCCTTTACAGAAAAAATATGCTGACACTCTCTTAAGAGCATTGCTCCTTCCGCAGGGTAGTGGTACGTGAGCTAGAATTTGAAGTGCTACCACTAGAATCAGGTTGCAGCAAGTCTTTTCCCAACCTGCAGAAAAGCATTTATGGGATCCAGTGCTCTCCATGTGAGGATTATCTGCCTTTGTCTTTAGCCTGTATTACCCACCTGCCACCTTTGTAGTGATGCATGTGGAATTAAATGTGTCTTATTTTTTTTTTAAAGATTTTATTTATTTATTAGAGAGAGAGCAAAAGACAGAGCACAAGCAGGGGGAGAAGCAGGCTCCTCGCCGAGCAGGGAACACAGTGTGGGACTTGATCCCGGGACCCCAGGATCATGACCTGAGCTGAAGGCAGATGCCCAACCAACTGAGCCACCCAGGTGCCCTAAATGTGTCTTGTTTAGAGCAAACCTGTATTTTCAGTTGCCCATTTGCTGTGGCAGTGTGTTATATTGTCTCCATAAAACAAAGCTTGGGGCTCCTGACTGGCTCAGTCAGTAGATCATGGGACTCTCAATCTCAGGGTTGTGAGTTCAAGCCCCATGATGGGCATGGGGCCTACTTAAAAACAAAAAACACAAAGCTTGTCTTTTCCTTCATGATGTCAGTGACCACATTCTAAGTCTATTGTGTGCATCTCACATGAAAAGAAAGCGAACTTTTTCATTTACACAGTCCTTAAGGGTCTTATGAGTCTGTAAATGTCTGACTTACAAAGTATGAGCAACTAAACCCAGTTGGTTTGTGCCAAACACACCCCTTCTCTTGTATGTCTCCCTGCCTCTACTCTTGTTCTGGGGCTCTTCCTGTTCTTGTTCCTTCCCCCAGTGTGTGCCAGCCCATGGGGAGGGGAAAGAGGGAAGGGAACAGAAAAGAAGTAGAGAAACCATTGTGGACCACCACCATTTCCTCCAGTCCTAGCAACTGGGTGTCTGCAGCCCCTGGCAGCAGACGGTATAAGGCGAGGACACCCTCTTTCTCCAGCCCTCCCATCCACCACAGTCTTAGGGCCTCTCTTCCCTTATATTTGCACCTTCCTTGCCCCATTCTTCCTCTTTTCATTCCAAGAGCACTGGTTCTGAAGAACAGGAGGAAAGGACGCATTTTCTTTTCTACCTGCAGTTCACTGAGCAATAATTTTGATTAGTGAAGCATATAGCCTCCCTATGGATAGGTTGGGAGAAGCAGCTCAAGTGATTCTATCTGCCTCCCCTAAATGGAGGATCCTTGGCTTGGAGCACCTATCTCATGCTCTTCTCCTACCTGGAACTTACAGGAATCAACACCCCTCCTCCCACCTGTGCCCACTGGTTTGAAATTAGAGAAGGACTATCTTCTTCCTGGATGTCAGCAAGGAGAACTGTGTTCCTGGCAGTCTGAGCTGGCACTCAGCTTTCCCTCATGACGTCGTTCCCCAGGGGGCTCCTTCCCCTGAGTCTGTTGCTTTTCTTGCTTTGTGCCTCAGACACAGCTGTGGGTCACTGGGCCTCCCCATCCAGCTGGGAAACTACCATTGCTGAGCACATTTCCAGATGTCTAACTCCTACTCGTTCTCCAAAGACTGGTTCTAAAGGGCTTTAAGCTCATTTTACTCCCTCATTCATTCAGTGGATATTTACTGAACGCTAGTTGTATGCCAAGTACTATTTTAGGTACAGGGGCTGTAGCAATGAACAGTGAAGGCCGTGTCCGCTGCCCTGGAGCTTTTTCACCATGAGAGCACAGCCATAAGTGAGTGAACAAATCATGAGCAAGGTAACCAGACGTGATAGGTACCCTGTGGGGAATACGTTTGGTCCACGTGACTGAGACAGGTAGGGGTGGGGGCGGTGCTCTCAGATTTGAGCCAACCTTGTTATTTTCCATGTGACTTGGAGATATCAAGACAAAGTGCAAGTATTCCCAGTTCTGCTCTGATGTTCTTTTTGCAAACTGTGCAGTTTGAGATGATGAAACCACCTTATTGGATCCTCCAATTATAACACACACTGAGATTTTTCCAGCTAGGGCTGTCTTGTGGATGGTAAACCAGGTCAGCACAGCAGCCCTTTCTGCTTATTTAACTTAAATTGCTGCTGCCTCAGGATGGGAGCCGAGTGGCCATTGCTGGGGCTGCATTAACAGCTGCAGGATCTTGTGAAGTCATTTTCTTTTCAATGGGCACTGATGCAGCTTGGCCATGTGCTCGTCACTGAGGCTAAAAATAAGCCATCATAACTGCACTTGCATTTCAGGCCTGACAGAGTGACACCTTTGTAAACAAACAGTTCTTAGATCCCATAATAACAGCTATTGTTCCTCTGAGTTAAGTGGAATGAAGCCACGTTGCCCTTCCCTGCAGTCCCCTGCTCCACCCTCGGCGGTTATCCCCTGTCTCCTCCCTGCTTTATTTGGTGTCCAAGTGCCTTTCTCATGTGGGGAGCAGTTGTTTATGAGGCTCAGGAGTGTTGGCAATTGATACAGTGCCGTGCTGGGTATGGCTAGGTGCTGGGTATTCCTTGGTCAGCTTTCTCGTTATTCGTATTCTCCCTGGGGATAGTCTTTGAGTGAGAAAAGCCCGCTGCTTTCTCCTCGGATGCAGGGTAACCTGCTTATTTAGTAAGCCACTTCTTATGTCTTACTAGGTATGATGAAATTGTTCAGGGAAAGTAGGCTGAAGCAGATTCATTTGCATTTATTTTGGTGATGAGCATTAAGAGCTAGTCCTTAAAGGCCTAGGCACAAATCTGTCCCTGTGGCGTCTGCAAATTAAAAACAGCTTCCAGTTGATTAGCACTTAAAGGAATGAGCCCTGCATTATGTACAAGAGTGTGAAATAACACCACTTGGAGAGAATTAGCTGTTTCTCCCTTTGTAAGACCCTAAACCTTTAGAGCCCTTTTCCACACCACTCTCTAGTCAGCATGGTGAAACTTGAATGAAACATTTCCATGATTTTTCTTTAGTGCTGGGGAGACAACCTACAATCTGGAACATGCCGGTGACCTTCGAGTGGAAGTGCAGAAAGTGTACGAACTCATAGATGCTTTAAGGTGAGACCTGGGAGGTGATGTCTGACTTGCTGCCTTGAGTGGAGGAAGTGCTGTTTCAGTGAGGGGGTGGGTGGCTGGCAGGCCCGAGCGTACCCAGAGTCCTGGTGACAGGGCGTGTGTGTGAGGAGCAGGCTGAGATGGGTGCCCGCTCTGGCACGCAACACATCTCAGTAACTTGGTTTAGGTTTCTGATGTTCATTAATATTAGAGAAATAGGAACTGATTATTGACACCATCTTTATGCCAGCCGTTGGTTGTATCCACATCTCATTTATTCAGTCAAAGTTAGCTGGTGCGGTAGGCATTAATACCCTTACTTTGTAGTTGAGAAGATGCATCACAACTGGCAAAGCCATGGAGCCAGGATAGAAACCCAGATTCTTTCTTCAAGTCGAGAGCTGCTTTTTAACCATGGGCTGGCTGTTGGGGTTAAATTAGCCCTTTGAGGTGTAGAAAGTATAGTGATTCAGAGGGAGAACTGAGATGAGGAAGCCTTGTTCGTCCATCTGTACAGGACTGAACACATAATTTGTGGGACCTAGTGCAAAATGAAAACACAAGTCCTGGTCAGGATTATTAAGAATTTTAAGATACGGGTCTCAAAGTGACTGCAGCCCCCTGCTGCCCAGTGTTGCCCCCAGCACGGTCTACAACCCCCCTGGCCCAGTTTCAGCTTGTGCACCGGCCTGGCAAAGCCAGTTGCTTCCTGCCTTCCCCACCTCAACCCAATCCAGGGGCCCAGGGTGTCCCTCACTGGCCCCCCAGGGCCTGCTCCCTTAAAAAAAGAATTTTAAGATAGTGACACCAGGATATTAAACCAGGTATAGGTCACTTACCCATGAAGTTGGTGAACTCACCATGAACTGACTGCGTGTGTGGTAAGTTCCTCGATGGCTGAGTGATGGTTAGATACCCCATGCTGTGTCAGGGGCCCTAGCTAGGACCAGAGGGTGAGGAATGGATTTTGCCTTCAAGGACATTCCGTGGGAGTCTTTAACCCACTTCTTCCATGGACGGTCCTGGCACAAAAGCCCTGCAACTCAGAGATTTCACCCTTGTTTCTGGGGCTGGCAACGCCTGTTACATTGATGTGTTTGTCCCGATTCAGTAAGAAGATCTTAACCTTAGGCTTGAACCAGGACCCACCACCACATCCAAACACTTTGCGGCTGCAGAGGATGATCAGATACTCAGCTACACTTTTTGTGCAGGTAAAGCATCTTGTGGTGTCAGAAACGGCTCATTTGCCTCCCCTGCTTTTCTGCCTCTCAGAAGGCAGACCGTGCCAATGGTTTGTCCTCTATTTGTACCTTTATTATTTTTTAAAATTGTAAATATAATTATGCCAGATTTAGAGAAAAATCTGGATTACAGAGAAAAGTAAAAACTTCTTAATTCTATGTCCTTAATACCATCACATATCATTCTGGTATATTTTCCTCTTTTTTTCATTTGTATTTGTTATATAAAGTAGTTATGATTAGTGCATATTTATAAATTTATGTCTTTTTAACACTGAATTTTATATCATAAGTACTTCTTACATATTCTTCATTTAAGATTTTTTTTTTTTAAGATTTATTTATTTATTTATTTATTTATTTATTTGACAGAGA